TTTAGGTGTTTACTTATGCCGCCATCTTGGTTTCTCCCCTCCCAGTTTCTTTTTTTTATTTTTTATTTATTGACTTGAGAGAGAGAGAGAGAAACATAAATTTGTTGCTCCACTCATTTATGTATTCATTGGTTGATACTTGTATGTACCCTGACCAGGGATTGAACCCATAACCTTGACATAGGGGATAATGCTCTAACCAACTGAACTATTTTGCCAGGGCCATGGCTCCCAGTTTCTGCCCTGAGCCCCCTCTTCCTCCTTTCCCCTGGATTTCCCATGGTGGCTTCTCCCTGGTGTGGCATTCTAAATCCTTTTCCTGCCCAAAGCCGTGTTTGGATACCCATGGCCCCAGGGAAGGGAACCTGAGCCCCCCTTTCTCCTAGAGATTCCTTTCTTGGTCTTCCCTTGCCACCTCAACCAGCTTCTCCTTCCTTCACACGCAGGCCGCTGAAACACTAGACGGCTGGGGGAGGGGAGGCAGATTCTCAGGCCTCACTGACTGCCCGAGATCCCAGGGCCCCTCCGGGTGGGGGGCTGGGCAGGCGGAGGTGTCTGGACTCTGCTTCCTGGCGGTGGGACCTTGGGTTTCAGTTTCCTTGTCCGCAGGGGAGACAGTGACACCTGCCCTACCCAGCTCAAGGTTGTGAAGCTTCAGCTAAATGTTGGTGGCAGGGCTTTGGAAACCACCAGGCACTGTCCAGATGCCAGCTCCTAAGCTCCGTGTCAGCCTGTGCCTGCCTCCCACGTTCCGCCTGGACTGAAGTGACTTTCCCCAGCGTTCCTGCCGGGTGCTGGAGGCCGGGGCCCAGAGACAGCTGACACCTGTGCTTCCAGGAGGCTGCGACCTGGTTGGCATCATCAGAGAAAGTGGGGGCTGGCCCTAGCCGGTTTGACCCCGTGGATCGAGTGTCGGCCTGCAGACCGAAGGGTCCCAGGTTTAGTTACAGTCAGGGGCATGTACCTTGGTTGCAGGCTCCTCCCCGGCCCAGCCCTGGCCCCGGTCAGGGAACGGGCAGGCAGCAACCAACTGATGTGTTTCATTGATGTTTCTCTCTGTCTTTCCCTCTTTTTTCCACTCTCTCTAAAATCAATGGAAAAACATCGAGTGAGGATTTTTTAAAAAATAAGGTAGAGAAAGTGGGCTGGATCTGTTAGGGTGCGGCCTTCATTTCCCACATCCCTGGGAGGTGGGCAAGCCAGTGACGAGTCAGACCCCAGTGCCAGCAGCCAGTGTGGACGCCAGCACCTGTGTCTCCGGGTGCATGTGACTCGGCTGGGCCTCTACAGCATCTCAGTCCCGCTGATCCCCGGGGGGCTCCCTGGAGGAGGGCTTCCCCGTGGAGGTCTGGACGTGGGCTGAGGACAGAGGCAGGAGTGGAGCGGCAGTGCAGTGCCCTGATCTGGCAGTGACATGCCCAGGCCACCCAGAGAGGGCAGCTAGGACCCATGCCGAGGGTCTGCCCATTACCCCCTCCCCACGCCTGCCTGGGTGCCTGCAGGTGATGTTTAGTGGTATCCACACACCCTAATCTGGGTCAGGGCAAAGTACACACATGACCTTGTGTAGGTCACTGTCGCCTTGCCACCTCCCATCACAGGGCGGCCATGCCCACGAGGGAAGGAAGGAGAGGATGAATGAGTGAAGGGTCTGGAGGAGTCCCGGCCCTGATGACCTCAGGGCTTCTCCTCCTGCCCCCAACACAGCTCGATGTTCTGCCCCCGGGAATGGCGAGGTCCCCCGGCGCACAGGGTCGTTTCACTCTGCGGAGTGCGGGTCGCTGTGCTCGGAACCCCCTCCAGGGCCGTGGCTTCCCCAGGCAGAGAGGCCTCCTCGGGGCTCCGGTCCCGGGGCCACCTTCACTCAGGCTCTGACAGGCAGCCATCGTCTCTCCAGCATCCAGCATGGTCCCCGGCACACAGCAGGCGCTCCAAAACAGGAAGGAAGAGGGAGACGTCGGGAGGGACCGCAAGGCCTAGGTCTGATCTGGTCTCAGCGGGAGGCCCTGGGGGAGGAAGGCCCGGAGTGAGAGGGGCCGGAGCGGAGTGAAGGGCCTGGGATAGGGCTGGCCCACGAATGAGATTGCGAGCCCACATCCCTTTCCCAGTAAATCCTGTAATTTCATGCTCCAGGGGGCCACAGAGTAAGAGAGTCAGTGGGGAGTAAATCCAACGCCCTGGCCACTCCCCCTACCAGAAGACCCCAACTTCCCCTGGAATCCCCCCAGCCCCCTGGACCAGGGTGTCCGGGCGCTCCTCTGAGCCATCCTCTTCCTCACCTTGTCCCTGGACCCCTCGACCCCCCACCTTCGGAGGACAAAGAGCATTTGTCCAACCTATGTCCTTAGAGCTGGAGGGGTCTCACAGCAAGGCCGGCAGGGGCTCCTTCCTGATGATCCTCAGCCTCTCCCTTCCTCCCCCCACCCTGCACGCACCCCCTTTGCACGGCCTCATGGAGCCTGTGCCTCGGGAAGGTCAGACTTCCACGTCTAAGAAGTGACTTTTTTTAAAAATATATTTTATTGATTTCTTTTTACATAGAGGAAGAGAGAGGGATAGAGAGTTAGAAACATCGATGAGAGAGAATCATCGATCAGCTGCCTCTTGCACACCCCCTACTGGGGATGTGCCCGCAACCAAGGTACATGCCCCTGACCGGAATCGAACCTGGGACCTTTCAGTCCGCAGGCCAGTGCTCTATCCACTGAGCCAAACTGGATTCAGCAGAAGTGACTCTTGACGAGAAGAAAGCCCAGGCCACGAGCCCTGGCGTGAGGTCCGGGGAAGAGACAGGTGTGGGAGGCCGGGTCTGGGGGGCTGTTGAGGAGCCCGCCTGTGAACCCCAGGTTTGCTGGGGAATACATTCCCATAGGCTCACCAGTCTGTTTAAATGCCATCCTAAGGTAAACGGGGTTCAGCCTCGGGGGAGACTCCGGGCTGGCTGCTGCTCGCTGCGGGATGGAAGGGCTGCGAGGGGGTGTCCATGTGCTTGGTCACAGCGGCCGCGAGGGAAGTGTTTGGGGAGGGACCAGTGTGTATGCGTGTGTCCCTGTCCCTGTCCTCTCCTACCCCCCAACCCCGGGTCTTATCTGCTGGTGCTGGTGCTGGGGTAGGAGTGAGGGCAGACGTGTGTGTGCGGGGGGGGGGGGGGGGGGGGGGCAGGGAGCCACAGGTGGGCACCAGTTGGTGAAGAGGCTCGACGGGCAGGAGACGGTGTGGGAGAGGCTGAAGGAGGGAGGGAGGGAACGGAGAGCTTCAGAAGGGAAGGGGCAGATGCTTGGCGAATGCCAACAAAGGAAAGCAGTCCTTTAATTCCCCTCGCACTTCTGAGCTGGGCAGCGTCCCAGTTTTGCAGGGCAGGAGACTGAAACGCAGAAATGGAACAACTTGTCCAAGGTCACACCGCTGCTAATCACACTGAGATTCTAACCCAGGTCTGCCTGATGCCGGAGGCTCCCCCATCCTCCCCGCCAGGGGCCTGGACACAGCAGCTCTGGCTCCCCAGGAGGCCTCTGGGAAACCGGGAGCACACAGGCTTTGTGCTTCTGGAATGTGGATCGGGGCAGGTCCCCACATCCCTGGCCTCTGAGAGGAGGGCGGGGTGCAGGGCCTCGCTGACCTCATGAAGAACTTCTCCCCTGACCCCTCGCTGCGCCTTCCGACTTCTCAGAGCCCATGTGCCCACTCCCCAGGCCCACCGCTGGCCGAGCTGCTCCTCCTGCAAGTGCCACGCACTTCCCACGCGCGTGACTGCTGGCTCAGAGCCCACAGCCACCATGGCCTGCAGGAGCTGACTGCAGTCCGTGTAGCTCACTGGCACCTCACACCCACGGCAGGACCTGAATTCCCTCAGTGCCACGGGGCCCTGCACCCAGACCCCCTGGACTCAGAGAGCCACCAAGTGCACACCCTGAGCCTCGGGGGGTTCTGACCCAAGTGAATGCCACCCCGGGGCCCCTGGGTCCAGCACACAGGAAGGCGGTTGGCCTCGGAGCCAGGCCTCTTGGCCCCCAGTCCCGACGGACACCTCCTAACTGTGTGGACTCGGGCAGGTCACTTAACCTCCTGGAGACTGTCTGTCGCCTCATCTGCAAAATAGGGCCGGTCACCCCTACCTCACAGCCTCGCAGGAGAGCGTGAGATGCAGGCCGGCCTGTGGAGGGGAGCAGAGTGTGCCGGCCCAGAACACGCCACTGTGGCAGATGGGTTCTGTAGGCTGGTTCGTTTTAAGAAACAGCAGCCCCGGGAGAAGCTCTGAAAACCAAGTCCCGAGTGTAGGGATGTGTGTGCCTGAAGGAGACCTCCCTTTGGGAGGATGCTTTTCCGTTGCACCGGGCCTGCCCTCGCTGTCCGGGGAGAAGGCCTGGGCTTCAGTCTGCGAAGCCACAGCCACCTCCCCTGTTCCCCGTGCTTCTCCTGGGACCCTCCTAACGGACTCCACCCCCAACTCCACCTTGTGTCCGTAGCTGAAGGAGGTGTTGAAGGTGACGGGGTTTCTGGGTCTCTCCCCTGTATACAGGAAGCATACGTGCTATTAAACTGCAATGTTTTCCCCCTGTTAATCCGCCTGGTGTTACTTTGGTTGTTAGTCCAGCCACAAGAACCTGAAGGGAATAGTCTTACCTCCCAGACACCTGTGAAGCGCCTGGCGCATAGTAGGTGCTTAACAGATAGTTCCTATGACGCAGGCCCTGACTCTGCCCCCCTTGTGTGACCACGAGGGCAGCAAATCTCGCCAGCTTCCAGAGTGAGTCCCTGCAGGCTCTGACCCCTCCCTGACTCCTGTCCGTATACTTACCCCCCAAGCCCAAGTGGACCCCTCATTCCCCTCTTTCACCCCCAAGACCCTGACCTTACCCTGACCTCCTCCCCTTTCCTACCCCACACTCTCCCTGAATCCTGGGCCCCACGGACCGCACAGCCCTGCCGCCCACAGGCCCTGCACCCACAGTGCAGCTCAGGCAAGCTCAGCTCAGGCACGCTCCCGCCCTGTCTTGCAGGCTCTCCAGGTCGCCCGGCAGTTCCTGCTGCAGCAAGCCTCGGGCCTGAGCTCCCCCGGGAACAATGACAGCAAGCAGTCCGCCTCCGCTGTGCAGGTGAGGAGGGCGTCCCTCTGGGCCGGCCGGGCCGGGGCCAGGTCAGAGGGTGGGCTTGGCAAAAACAAGGCCGGTGAGTGGCAGCTGCTGGAGGGAAGGGCCAGGCCCTGTGAAGAGACTTGCACTTTCTGTCTCACCTCCACCTGATCCCAGGCCCGCCTCTGCTGGGCCTGTGTCTGCGCTCAGATCTGCCTCTGTCCCCTGCGAGGCTTCCTCTTCCGCGGCCTCGGGGTCACTGCTCAGGTTTCTCTTTTCTCTGTGCGGCCACCCGGCCTGTCCCTTGTGACTCCCCCCTTCCCAGGCTCTCCGTGGCTGAGGTCACCAGGTCTCCCCCCTAATCTCTCACCCACCAGTTCTCTCTCGGTCGCCCCGAGTTTCCTGTCTCTTGATGACTCTCTGTCTCTTTTGTTTTCCTTTGCACAATCTGCCCTTTTTCCCTCTCTCCCTCCCCCCAACCTGCTGGCCCATCTGGCTGGGTGGGGGAGGGGAGGTCTGGTGGGGGTGGGGGGTTTAGCCTGGCCTTCTGTTTACCTTTTGTGTCTCAAAGAACTTGGGAGAATCGCCCGTCCGATTGTCCAAATCCATCCCGGGGTGGGTCACTGCTCGGGCAGCCCTGTCTCCACCCCCCCCAACCCCTCCCCCCTCCCAACCCCTACCCCCTCCTAACCCCTACCCCCCTCCCCAACCCCTACCCCCTTCTCAGCAACCAAGCTTTTTCGCTCCCTCACCCCTCCCCACAGCAGCGGGAAGGCTTGGAATTGGGGAGAGGATTAAGCGGGGCTTTGAAAGGAAGTTTATCTAAGGGAGGAAGGCTGAACTCCATCCGAAGCACGCAGCTCTGGAGTCTGGGGGGCGGGGTGCTGAGGGAAGGAGGGAAGCGAGGGGGGCAGGATGGAGGATGGGGTGCGGGGTGCGGGGAGAAGGACCCAGGACTGGGTTTTATGTAAAACAAGTTCATGTTCAGAAAGTGCTTTGAAGAAGTCCAGTGTGCCCGACAGTTGTGGGGCCTTCGCTGGGCCCTGTTTTAAAAGTCTGGAACCTGATGAGACTGCCCTCAAGGGGGAGGAGTTGGGCACAGAGGGCTTCTGGCCTGGGTTGCTGGGGACACCCCCTGGAAAGCCAGGATTGGGGAGAGAAGCTCTCAGGCCCCGGTGGTGTCAGGGATAGGGATCCCCCTCTCCAACTCCCAGGGTCCGAGGTGGTGGTTCTCAGTCCTCCCCGCCCTGGACCAGCTAGCATCCCTTCTGAGAACAAAGAAAGGTAGGCTGGAGAGAAGGAATGTCCCCCAGTCCGGAAGGAAGGGCTGGCTGAGGAAGGAGGAGCTTCCTGGGAGTGGGCGGGACTGAGGTCAGGCCCAGGGAGGACTCCGCGGTGTGAGGAGCAGGGGAGCTGAAATAGTGAGAAAGGGAGGCTGTGGGGTTTTTTTTTGGGAGACCCCCTTCCCTAAAATGAGAGCGGTCCAAGGATGCCCTAGAATGAGCAGCAGAGGGACAGGGAAAATGAATCTTGGGCCTTCTCTCTTGCCTTCTTACTCCCAGTGATGGATCAGTTCACTCATTCAGCAAGTACGGTCACACCAGCAACAGATACTTACAGAGGCTTACCCTGGGGCAGACCCCACGTGCTTTATAAGTAGTGTCTCACTGATCTTCTCACTCCCATGAGGTCCATGTTGCATTAGCCTCATGTTGCCAATGAGGAAGCCGGGGCCCAGAGACGTTAAGTAACTTATCCAAAGTCACACAGCTAATCGGGCTATTTCTGGGGCTTCTGTTCCCCGTGGGGGTCCAAGGCCCAGAAATAGCTTTTCTGTGGGGGTTTAGGGGAGAGTGAGTAGAAACATGCATTTTGCTGATTTGGAGCTCAACTGAAATGAAGGGAAATGAATAAGGTCCGTGGCAGCCCCTTTCCCGGCTCCCCCAACACTGTCCCGGCTCCCCCCAACACTGTCCCGGCTCCCCCAACACTGTCCTGCTCCCCAACTCAAGGTGGGGTTCCTGCTCACCTCCCCTCTCAGCCACGTCCACCAGCCCCCTCCCAGGCCAGCTTCAGACCAGTTTCCAAAACCATCTTAGTTCTCCAGCTCCAGCGTGTGCCCAGGCCTGGACGCCAGGCACGGCGAGGTCAGGTGGGGGCAGGGAGGGGGCGCAGCACAGGTAGCTGGGAGTTTGGGCAAACGGAGGTCAAGGCCGGACCCTAGCTCTGCCAGCCTGTCTCATCTTCTCAGCCCCTAAGGCTCGCCCTCCTGCCATTTCTACAAGTTCCCCTGTCCCACCCTGGCTTTTTTTGTTGTGATTCAGCCCAGAGCTAGTCTGAGGGCTTCCTTCTGGTCATACGCAGGGGAATTTAACCTAGCCTGTGGTTGGCAAACTGCGGCTTGCGAACCAACTGGCGGCTCTTTGGCCCCTTGAGTGTGGCTCTTCCACAAAATACCACGGCCTGGGCGAGTCTGTTTTAAAGAAGTGGTGTTAGAAGTTTAAGTTTAAAAAATTTGACTCTCCAAATGAATTTTAGTCATTGTACTGTTGATATTTGGCTCTGTTGACTAATGAGTTTGCCGACCACTGACCTAGACTAAGCTCTGGCCTAGTCTCCGAAATCACCCAGGGACCCCGGTTCCCACACTTCAAAGGCCGAGTCTGGGTCCTTGATTGGCACAAATTGCATCCATCCCAGCCCCCAGCGGCACTTCCCCGTGTCTCCACCCTGAGTCCAGCCCAGCACACTGTAATCATGGCGGCCGAGGGCTCTGGGGGGCATGGTCCCTGGGCGCGGGGCTGGAGGCAGCTGTCAGCAGCCAGCTCAGCCGGAGTCCCCCTGCCAGGCTTTGGTGAGCATGCAGCCACCCTGGCCACTCTCCAGCTGTGACTCACGGCTTTGCTGAGCTGACTAGCCCACGGTGGCCATCTGGACACATCCCCGCCTGGTGAGTGGTCCATGGGGACCCAGGAGAGCTCCAGCTCAGAGCCCCAAGGGGCGTGACGGGAGGTGGATGGGTCAGCCAGTTCAGGAGGTCCGTATGTGGCGGCCGCCTTGCAGACCTTTCTTGGCCCTCTTGGGCCACCTTAGAGACAAGTACGCAGAGATAATCCATCCTGATCTCTCTCTGCAGACACCTCTCCAGCTGCAGCTCAGCCACGTGGCAGGACGGCAGGGGCTGGGGCGGCCTTCCAAGGTCTCTCTTCCCCTCCCCTGCCTCTGCGTGGGAAAGCCCCGAGGAGGGAAGGCCACATCCTTTCTTGCATGCTGCTCCGTGACTCACCCCTGGGGCCTGGAGAGACCGGGTGTCTGCTCTCAGCCTCCCCTGCTATGGCGCAGCTCTCGCCGCGATGTGAATGGGAGGCTCACTGCTTTGGTCCTAAGTGACCCCGGCCACCCAGTGCCTCTGGGGGCCCCTTCAGTACCTAAAGTGCAACAGTGGAGAAGGGAGAAGGAAAGGAAACCAGAAAAAGAAAATTCAGAATGTTTTCTTTAAGTAGTTGTTTCTACAGTTGTATAGAGTTCCATGACATACAAACCCCTTCTCCCTGCCCCTTCCGCCCTTGTCCCAGGCGGCAGGGCCGGTGGTTTAACTTCCCCAAACCCCAGCGTTCTCAGCTGTAAAACGGTAATGACGGTGATACCCTCCTCCCGGGCAGGCTGCTGTGAAGAGTCAGGGAGATCGCACTCATTAAGGGCTTAGCCGAGTGCCTGGCCCCTAATCCACAGCCAGCCACGGCCTCCTGTGCAGTCTGGGGCGGCAAGGTGGGCAGGTGTTCCGAACCCCAGGGAGAGCACAGGGCAGGCGAGGCTTGGCGATCTCAAAGGTCAGTCAGTGTCAGAGACAAGACCCTGCCCGGGTCACCTGACGCAGAACTCTGGGCTGCTGAGCCCAATACCGCCGGGTCCCAGGGGAAGAGGAGAGACAGGCCGGGTGGCTGCTGCAGGGTTACACGGGCTGGTCTGCAGGGGGTGGGCCTGGGTCACCATCTGCCCCTCCTCGGGTCCCTCCGAGAGTGAGGACCAGGACCCCATGCAGCCTGGCGGTGGCGTCTCTTGTGGTACAGGGTGAAGGGGGAGGCGGGTCTCAGGATCTCAGCCCCGTCCGCCTTCAGCTCCTGGGTGCTCCGCGTCCACAGTCTCTGCAGTGCTGACCAGCCCTGCTCCAGGGTAAGGCAGGCAGTGTGGATGGGGAAGGCCCGGGAGCCATGGAGTACACAGACCTGGGCTTGCATCCCATCCTGCCCCTTAAGGCTCCTTATAGAGGCCCCTGGAGCCTGCCTTCCCACAGGAGGGCCCTAGTTAAAGAGCCAGGCGGTGCCTCTCTGGGGATGTCTGCAGAGATGGCAGGGGGAAGGGGGAAGCCCAGGGCTGGGCTCGGCCACTCGAGCTGGGGGCAGTGGGGCTTCCCATGTTTGCCCTACACCCCCTGGTTGCTTCCCTGCAGGGGAATTCACTAATCGGTGGCTTAGGCTGAGTCCTACCCCTGCCCCAGGGATCCCAAAAGGAACCGACTCTTCCTCCCCTGACTCCGCCCCCATGGGACCAGAGGGAGGTCACAGGGGCCAAGACAGTCCCTGAAGGCCTCTCTCTGTACCCCTCCCTTCCTGCTACAGGGCTGCAGAGGGGCCCCGTCTGCCAGGAAAGGTGTTTCAGCTCAGAGCAAACCCCAGGGAGGACCGCTGTGTGCCGGGCCCTCTGCTGGGCCCTGGGGTGGGAGGTAGGGAAGAGTCTGTGCACTGTCAGAGGGAGGAGTGGGCAGGCCGCCGGGCGGGCACCTGTTCTGTGAAAGGCATGAAGGCGCTCCTACAACCTGGGCCTCCCTGGCCGTCACTCCGCCAGCCTGGGGGCTCCGGGCAGGCAGGGCTGGGAAGAGATGTCGCTACTGCTTCTCCCTGCACCTTTCTCTGTAGCTGGGTCCTCTGGGCTTCCGGAGGCCTAACCCAGGACAGGGGACAGGAAGCTACTCAGAGAACCCGACACGTCCCGGTGGGAAGGAGCCACCTGTTACAATCCAGTCCCTGTCTGACGTTTGAGGAAACTGACGCGCCAGAGAGGGCCGGCGGCTTGCTGGGGGTCACACAGCAAGTTCAGCGCAGGGCTAGGAGGGGGAGCCTGCCTCCTGACCGCTGCCTGGGCTCTTTCCACCCGCTGAAGACAAAACTGCTCCTACACACCCAGGGTGGCACCCTCGGGCCCCGGTGTGTGCCCTCTGCACACGTGTGCTGGAGGATGTGACGTGTGTGTGCCAGCGCCCAGGGCTCCTGCCCCGAGGGCCACCTTTTGAATCCTCCTGGTGGCTGCCGCTGCCCTCCCGGCCAGGCCCACCTCACAGTGTCGCAGGGGAGAGAGCAGAGTCGGGCGTGGCGAGCTGAGCCTCTTGTCACCTTCCTGCTCCGGAGTGAGCGCGCTTAACAGGCAGCCTGGGTCGGCACCTCTGGGTGCCAGGCTTTCTTCTGAGGGTTAACCCGTTAGTCCCGCGACAGCCTTCAGGGGCAGGCACTGTTGCCGCCTCCGTCGCACAAACGAGGACACGGAGCCGGTCCCTTGTCTGAAGAGACCCAGCGAGTCGGTGGCAGAGGCAGAATGTGAGCCCAGGCCATCTCCCTCCGGAGCCACTCCCCGTGCTGTGGGTGGGCCTTGGGTGCCTGCGCTCCCCGGAGCCGGGTGGAGGGGAGCAGGCTGACGGGGCCCAATCCCGCAGGTGCCCGTGTCGGTGGCCATGATGTCGCCGCAGATGCTCACCCCCCAGCAGATGCAGCAGATCCTGTCGCCCCCGCAGCTGCAGGCCTTGCTCCAGCAGCAGCAGGCGCTCATGCTCCAGCAGGTGAGTCTGGCCCCGGGGCAGCTGAGACGCGGCCGCCGTGCCTCCCCCCCAGGTGTGTTTACTGCCAACACCACGGAGTGGCAGAAAACCAGAGAGACTGCTCAGGCCGGACTGATCTGCATTCCTCCGGGGCAGTGGGGGGAGGTCTGAGATCAGGCCTCTCAGCGAGCAGCGCCTTGGCCCACCTGCCCCCAGACCCCCGGGACATCCCGGCTCCTGGCACCCTGACCTATTCGGGACCCACCCAGAGGCAGGCCAGACTGGGCGGTGCGGGATGAAGCTCCCCCTCTCCCTTCTCCACTCACGGAGTCTCTCTCGGCAGAAGTCTCCCTGCCAGGCTCCGTGTCCCACGGCCCCAGGCAGGCTCCCCACTCCTGCCTGCAGGAGCTGGGCCACCACCGGGCTGGGGTTGCTAAAGTCAGCAGCCAGCTGACCCTGCTAACGCACTCTGCCCCCCTCGCCCCCCCCCCAGCTGCAGGAATATTACAAGAAGCAGCAAGAGCAGCTTCACTTGCAGCTCCTCACCCAACAGCAGGCTGGGAAGCAGCAACCCAAAGAGGTAAGGGGCTCGGGCAGGGCCTGCCCATCCCCTGCACCCCGCCTCTCCTGGCCGGAGGCTGGGAGTCCCCGGGTGGTTTGGGAGAAGTGCCTGGTGGGCACAATGGAAAAGTCTGGAAAGGCCTGGGGGGGAGAGGGCAGGGGGCTCCCATTTCTCCATCGCCCTTCCTCCCCCTGGGTCCTCTCCTTGCTTGTGTTGTTGGTCAATCAGAGCAGGACGGCAGAGCCCGGGGTCATCTCTGCTCATGCATGTAGACACGTGTAAAGAGTGTCACATGGTCCACACGCATGACCAGTTGCCAGCTGTCATGCCCTCTTCCTGCCCACTTGTCTCTTCTTGACCCCGCACCTGAGTCCTCCTCTCTGGTCCTGAGGCTCTTTTAGTCGCTCAGCAAACCACTTGCCCCTGCCCCCCCAGCACCACCCCAACTTCTGTTCCTTCTTGTAACATCCGGCTCTGCTCTCTCCTTAGAGCTCTCTAGTCTACACCCCTGCCCCTCTGAGCCCCAGTGCCTTCTGAGCTTCCATAGCGGGCCCCCTGCCCCGTCCTCCCTCTCCCAGGCATGTGGCTCCCTCTGGCCGGCCACACCACACCCAGGTTCTGAGCTGCCTCTTCCCGGAAGGCTGCCCTCTGGCTCCAGTCATTCCCCCAGGCGTCAGCTCCCCCTCAGGGGTCCTGTCATGGCTGCATTCTCTGCATTATCTCCGGCTGGTTTATTGCCCCGCCAGCCCCCACCCCGGGGCAGGCAGGCAGGCAGAGAGGCCCCTGCCTCCCCAGCACCCAGGATGGGCTTGGAACACTTGCCGACAGCCTGGCTTGTCAGTGCCTGTGTGAAAACTGAAGGGGGGGCGGGGCAAGCGAGAGCACCTGCGAGTGCCCCAGCAGCGGGGAAAGGACTGTTCCCTGAGCCTGGGTCCTGCTGACCAGCTGATGCTGGTCTTTCCAAGTCCCGCCAGACTGTGATGCGCTGTGTCTGAGAAGCGAGAGGAGGTGGGAGGTGGAGGGGAGAAGGCCCCTCCTCGTGATCAGAGGGGGGCACCCGGGCATGTGGGAAGGGTGCCTGCCAGGCAGGAGTGGCCCCTGGAGCCTGACAGGCTCATCGATCATTGTGATGAGAGCGCCCCCGCCCCCCCAGGCGCGCACAGCTGCGGTGCGGGAGCCGGAGCAGGCGCTAAGCAGCAGAAGGAGGGAGGCGGAGCGGGGAGGCGTCGTGCTGCGCGTCTGAGCCTGGCTGTGTTTGCGCGCCTGCGTGCGTGCGTGCATGCGTGTGTTTACTGCGAGCAGGCATGCAGCCCTATGGAAGCTGGGCCGGGAGCAGAGACGCCGCGGCCTCGGACACCGCGCCCACAGCCCCAGGGGCTGAGAGGCCCTGGGAGGGGGTGACCGCAGGGTGGGGGCCAGACGGCGCGCCGGAGGCTAATGGCACCCCTCTCTGCACACCCCCTCGGCCCCCCCACCAGGCGCTGGGGAACAAGCAGCTGGCCTTCCAGCAGCAGCTCCTGCAAATGCAACAGCTGCAGCAGCAGCACCTGCTCAACCTGCAGAGACAGGGGCTGGTCAGCCTGCAGCCCAGCCAAGCCCCGGGGCCCCTCCAGACCCTCCCACAAGGTGAGTGGCCCGCCCCCCTCCCCCAGCCCTGCCCACGGCCCTCCGTGCACCCAGGGGCTGGCTTCCCCTGCTTCCCCAGGGGGGAGATGGGAAGGCTCCCGTGTCCCTGAGGCCCTGCAACCTCACCCCCCCCCCCCCACAGCGGCCGTGTGCCCGACAGACCTGCCGCAGCTGTGGAAGGGCGAGGGTGCCCCCGGGCAGCCCGCCGAGGACAGCGTAAAGCAGGAGGGGCTGGACCTCACTGGCACGGCCACCACCGCTACCTCGTTTGCCGCCCCCCCCAAAGTCTCGCCCCCGCTCTCCCACCACACCCTGCCCAATGGACAGCCCACTGTGCTCACCCCTCGGAGAGACAGGTACTGGGACCTTAGGGAGAGGTGCTACAGACTGGGACACTCCCGGGGGCCCCCCGGGACGGCGCATGTTGTGGGGGCAGGGAGGGAGGGGGCGCTCAGGCACCTGGGAGTGTGTCTGGGTTTCTGGGGAATCTGTGTTAAAAACAGACACGCCACCAGCAGGGGAGCTGGGGCAGGGCTGCTGGGGTCTTCAGGGTCCCTGACGGCCCCCTTTGTCCCCTCCCCCAGCTCCTCCCATGAGGAGACCCCTGGTTCCCACCCTCTGTATGGACACGGAGAGTGCAAGTGGCCTGGCTGTGAGACCCTGTGTGAAGACCTGGGCCAGTTTATCAAGTAGGTGTTGTCACCCCGCTCTCCTTCCCCCCAGCCCTCCCCCTCCAAGGAGCCTTTCCGTTTTCCCTGCCCCCCGCCTGCCCCCCACCTTCAGCCCCCAGCTGGACCTAGTTCCCCTGCCCTCTGTCGCATACCTTTCCTTCTCTCCTACCTGCCTGCCCAGCCTGAATTCCCCAGCCTCCCCCCCCTCCCAGGCTGCACAGCCCAGCAGGGGGCGGGGGGAGAAGAGAGGCCTCCCCCTCTCCCGCCCTCCCCCAGCTCCAGCCCCCAAGAGTGATGGCCGGGAGACAGGCCTGGCCGGCCGACAGGCCTCCGCCGGGCAGGAGGCAGACAGGCGGCTGGCAGCAGGCGGCCAGCTGCCACTGCCGTGCCAGGCTCTGTCACTGACTGATTAACTCCACTGTCTCCCAGACCCTTGCAGCATCAGGGTCAAACAAATTGTTTTCACGCTTCGTCAGAGGTTTACTTAATTAGTTCATTTGCAATTAGATCTCTCTGTAGCCGGGGTTTTAGCAAAGACATCAAAGGAGGGTGATGAGAAGGCGGCTTCCTCCTCTGCCCCGTCCCCCCCACCCCTCTCCCTTCTTTGTATCTCCGGGCCTGTCTGCTTTCCAGGCTGTGCTGTGGGCGGGCTCAGAGGATGGGATGGGAGGGTGGTGACAGCAGGAAGCCCAGGGCCAACTCTCTCTCCCCCGCCCCCCTCCTCCTCCCCCCCCCCCCCGAAGACACCTCAACACGGAGCACGCCCTGGACGACCGGAGCACGGCCCAGTGCCGGGTGCAGATGCAGGTGGTGCAGCAGCTGGAGATCCAGGTGTGGCCCCGTCCCATCTCCCCCCCACCCCCACCCACCCACCCACAGCACTGGCTTTCCAGGAGGGGGGTGGGGAGGCTTCTGAAGGATCACGTGGTCAGAGTTAGCATCTTTTGTTTCCTAGGTCCTAGTTACCATGGTTCTGAGGTGAGGGCCGCTGGACTCTGAGGGGGAATGCAGGGTCAGGCGGGGACCTGGCCGCCGGGAGGTCCAGAAAAGAGGCTGGTGGTGGTACAAAGGGAAAGCGCCTTCCTGGCCAGCACACAGAGCACGTGCGTCGTGCGGCCCCGAATGTGTTGCCCGTATAACTCAGGGAGTCCCCTAAACAGCCCTGTGTGGGGGTACAGTTTAGCCCCGCTGGACAGGAAGTGGCCGCAGAGAGGGGGAGCAGCTGCCCCTGGCCAAGCAGTGGCGGGCGGCACAGCCGGGATCGGCACCGCGGCAGCCTGGCTCCCGAGCCTCAGCTCCGTCGTAGGAGAGGCTCCTCCGGCCAGGCCGTCAGGCAGCCGATCAATACTCACTCGCGCCCAGGGCAGAGGGCCCTGCCGGGGGATGCGGTGGCGAAAGATCCATTGAACTTATGAATGGGGTGAATGGATCATTCATCTGCTCCTGTGTCTCCATTCAGCGCACGAGGACCCTCTCACGCACACCAGGGCCATGGGACTTGGGTGTTGTTCAGCCGGCGCCTCTGCCTTCCTTGGGGAGGAAAGGCGTGTGCTGTTGGGAAGAGGGCCCCTGCCTGGTGGGGAGCCGGAGCCTGGGACACGCCGTCCGGAGGAGAAGCGAGGGGTCCCCTGGCCTGGCCTCGAGGGTGTGAGGGGCCAGAGAGGCAGGGGCCAGGGGGAGCTGGGGTGCTGAGGGGGGGGAGGCGAGTGGTGGCCCGGAATAGAGGCTTCCTGGGAAGTCTGGTGGACCAGGAAGGAGGAAAAGGGCCTGGCTGCTCACCCCCGGCTTCTGCACCGCCCACAGCTTGCCAAGGAGAGCGAGCGGCTGCAAGCCATGATGGCCCACCTGCACATGCGGCCCTCCGAGCCCAAGCCCTTCAGTCAACCAGTGAGTGCCCCCCCTTCCCGCACCTTCCCGGAGCCCTCAGCCGTCCCCCCACCCCCCGGCCCTCTGGACCCCCGCCCGCCAAGCGGGTCTCAGCGCCTGCCCATTGCTCACAGCTGAACCCAGTGTCCGGCTCCTCCTCATTCTCCAAGGTGACCGTGTCTGCAGCAGACTCGTTCCCAGACGGCCTCGTGCACCCCCCCACCTCAGCTGCTGCCCCCGTCACCCCGCTGCGGCCTCCGGGCCTGGGCTCTGCCTCCCTGCACAGCGGGGGCCCCGCCCGCCGGAGGAGCAGCGACAAGTTCTGCTCCCCCATCTCCTCAGGTAAGGGCTGTGGGCGTAGCATTCCCCTACAAGCTGGGCCCCCCCCCCCCAAAAAAAAATGGCTACGCCATCCTTTGCCTGTCTCCCCCAGAGCTGGCCCAGAACCACGAGTTCTACAAGAATGCAGACGTCCGGCCCCCCTTCACCTACGCCTCCCTCATCCGCCAGGTGAGCAGGGAAGGCGGCCAGAGGGGGTGGGGCATGGCACGCAGGCAGCACCCGGGCCTGGGGTCCCAGCTCCCAGGAGGACCCGGGGCCAGGGACGTGACTCTCCCTCAGGGCTGTCCCCTCCCGCTCCCCCACATTTCCCTTCTCAGCTGCAGGTCTCACATAGATGCTGGTCACGTGACCATCTCTCTGGGAGCGCACACTTTTTTTTGCTGCTGATGTTCACTGTATTCATTCTCTCATTTCCATGTACACACACTGCATGTGACTGTTTACTAATAGACTGTGGTCACTCTTAGTCGGCTTCCTGTCTCCTCCCTCTCTCTCTCTCTCTCCCTCTCTCTCTCTCTCTCTCCCTCTCTCTCTCTCTCTCTCCCTCTCTCTCTCTCTCTCTCTCTCTCTCTCTCACACACACACACACACACACACCATCTCAGAGACTGCCCTTTGCCCAAATTCGGATAAATTCCAAACAGCCCCCGCCCCTAGATGTCTCTCCTGAGAACGCTGCTCTCGTCCTCCTCCAGCAGGGGCCTAGCAGCCATTTCCCTGCAGAGAAGCCGCGTGCCCCTTGCCCCAGGGCGTAGCTCTTGAGGCCTGTGCCCCTCCGTGGCTGGGCTGGAACCAGCCGGCCCTGCTCAGGCCCCAGGAGACTCACCCTCCCACCCACGGGCTCCGCAGTGGGTCTCCCCTCTCGGTGAGTCAGCGGCCAGGCAGAGAGAGAGAGAGAACACAAGCCGGGGACCCTTAGAGGCCCAGGCTGAGGGTCTCTGCTCCTTCCTCGCCACAGGCCATCCTGGAGACCCCCGACCGGCAGCTGACCCTGAATGAGATCTATAACTGGTTCACCAGGATGTTCGCCTATTTCCGAAGAAACACTGCCACCTGGAAGGTGAGGCATGCCCCCCCTCCCCCCGGCCCGGGGCCCCCGTCACCCTTGACATCACACCCCTTTGGGACTAAGGCTGCCTGACAGTCCGTCCCCTCAGAGAGGGGCTCCGAGGGGCCATGTGCCCCTCCACCCGCCTCTTCGGAGCCGTGGATGCTCTTTCACCGCCTCCCTTCAGCCGTGTGCTGCCTTCCTTCCGGGGAGAAGCCCTCCTCCAGAGTGCTCCCCCGTGGGCCCTTGCTGTGGGGCCCCCAGGAGTCAGCGGTGCCTGAGCCTCGGAGGGAGGCCTGGGTTCCATTCACAGGAGGCCCCAAGGGTCCGGATACCTTGGCTAAAGGCACATGCTCTGAAGTTCAGGATGGAGTGGGGGTGTAAGGGGTGCCAGCCTGGCCCAGACACGTGGGCGGAGTGAGACCCGTGGACTGTATACACTGGGCCACCAACACAGGCAGTCGCACACTCTCCCCAGCTCTGCCGTCAGCTGCGGGGAAATGATTGTCTCCATCCAATTAGTCATTTCCACACCTTCACCTCATAAAGAGTTTTCCTGAGGGACCAGAGGCAGGCAAGGGAGGGACCCTAGGAAAATAGGACACTGGGATGTGTGCTGAGCTGCTAAGCTATTTGTTTCTCTGTAGCCAAGGTGGTCTGTATGTCTGTGAGCGCGCGCACGCGTGTGTGTGTGTGTGTGTGTGTGTGTGTGTGTGTGTCTGATGGGTGAGAAGATTCGGGTCTTGGCAGCAGAGAGTTGGGGGGGGGGGGGAGGGAGGTGCAGGGAAGGAAAGGGGAGTGTTGGGTCCTATGGGCAAGTTGAGACACCTGAGGAGTCCCTAACCTTACTTGGATCCCTGGCTCTTGGGTCCCCCTGCTGGCCAGTGCAGAAACTGCAGTTAAACAGGTTACCTCCCCCCCATCCCACCGGGTTTCAACAAGTGTCACTGAGCCCCCTCCCTCCCAGCACCCAGGACCTGGTGGGGTCAGGACTGGGTGGGGTCTGCACCGGGCCCAGCCTTCTCTGCCCTGGGAGTGTGCTAAGTGCAATAGGAGATACTGATCTTCCGTATCCCATGCCCAGTTCCCAAAGCCTGGGTGAGACACTATGAAGCTGTGATTGGCTACTAGTGATGTCATTTCCTGCCAACCACAGTCCTGCCCTCTCTCTCAGCCAGCAGGGCCTTCGTGGGGCCCTCCCAGGGCAGTCTCCAACCTCCAGGCCAGTTGGATATTGGGTTTGGTCCGTCATAGGGTTCTATTCGATTCATTACAGTTATCACTAATGCTTACTTCGATATTGCGTATTGACCTTATGCCTTTGGGGTGGCGCAGTGCAGGGCCTCACTCCCATGAGACAGTCTCTTCCTTGGGGACAGAGTGCCACTCCCCCCGCTCCTCCTTTTCCTGTTCCCGCCTAACTGTACCTCCTCCCTGCGGTTTTTACTCTCCTTTCTCTTGAGCTCGGGAGGAGCTGGTTCAGGTGACTTCCTTAAACCACTGGATGATTGTCATGCAATGCCCCAACTCCCTTGGCCTCTCATGCCACCTCCACCCGTCACCCGGCCTCGGCCATCCCAGAGGCGTGTCTCTCTCCAGTCTTATCTCCTTCGCCCCGCCCCCAGCCCAGGTCCCAGCAGAGAGCTGGACGGGTGGGTCACCCTCCCAGCTAGTCAGGCTCTGCGGTTGCTCCTGCCGCCTGGGGCACTGCTGGTGCCCGCCTTGTGGCACAGAGGACTTCATCTTGGCGTGAGGTCCACTCTGACCTTCCACTTCATTCGTGTTACCTGGGAAACGCACCCTGTCTACACCCAGCTCTTTCCCTCCCACCTTCACCGTCCGCCCGTTTCTCTCCCCTGGAGGTCCCTCCTCTTCTCAACTCTGTCAGCCTCCTTTTCTCCTTCCTCCCACCCCCTCTGGCCCCCTCCTGAGACGCTGTCCACTTCAGACCAGGGCAGAAGGGTCGGGAGCCGGCGTCGGCCAGGCCAGCTGCCGTCCATCGGGGACAGAGCAGCCATCTGCCAAGCTGACGGTCCTCCCGGCCCTCCCCCTGTGTCCGTCCCCTGCCGGGGCCCGTGTTGTGGACTCGTCCCTTTGTTTACGCGGCCCCCGCCAGACCCCTCAAATTGCCGTTAATGTTTCAGCGTAACGAATTAGTCTCTCATCACGAATCAGGCTTCGAAATGAGGGAAAAAAGCCCCGGTGAGGCCATCCTCGGAAATTGGGGTCATTCTCATTTGCAAAGCGGAGGATCGGAGCCCCGTAATGCGGGCAAATTTATTCCGAGGCAGGAGCCCCGGCGTGATTAGGCCCTTTGTAATTATCGCTCCGAGAGATTCCACTCCAGCCGCCCGCCTCCCTCGTGGATTAGCAAGCGAGTCGGAAAAATACACAGGATTTAATTAGAGGCAAATTAAAATTGGTAATGAAATCGGGCCAGTTGCAAGTGGCAAGAGTTGGAAGGGAGAGGGGGAGAGGGGCTCTCCAGGGGCACGGGCTGCCCGCCCTGCCCGCACTCTTCCCCGTTTAGAAATGTAAAGAGGAGACAAGACGGGGACGGGGGAGGACAGGTAACGGGCTGGGACGGCTGGGGGGGGAGGGGTGTGGAGCTGAGACAGAGGGCAGGGACTGGACGGAGGGATGTGGGTCGGGGAGGGGGTGGATGAGGGCCCTAGCCCAGGCTCCCACGGCGTGGGAGGGGGGGAGGGGAGGGAGACAAGGAATTGGGCCAAGCATCCCCACCTTCACCCAAATGCCCTACAAACCAGATGACCTCAATTCCAGGAGTTATTCCTGCAGGAGGAGGTGGGAGTGACAAGGTGACTTTTCCTCTCTTCTCTCCTCCTGCCTCCCGGCAGCTAAGCCCACACTCTCCTTCCTCCCTGTTTGTGTCGGCGCGCATGTATTAGGCCTCTGCTGTATGCCTCATGCACACAGCCCCACGCCTGGCTCCCACCGGCCCAGAGGCGGGGAGCGGCTGCAGCGAGGGCTCCCGAGTTATTCCCAGAACTTAGAAAAGCCAAATGGGAATTCTGAGGAGAGGTGTCCGGGCTCACTGAGCAGCCAAGGCCAGAGCACACCCTCTGGATGGTCAGAGCCCCCAGTACCAACCACACGCCTGACTCAGGACGATGGAAGAACAAGGTGTTACTGACTGCCTCGCCTGCAGTTGGCAGACAGAGTTTTCCAGGACTTGGCGGGAAGAAGGGAGGCAGATACCGGAAGGGGCTGTGGGCCGGGAAGACACTGGGAGCCCCTGGCTCCAAGGGGAGGGCCTCCCAGCCCCTGTGGCCAGGTCTCCTCTCACGGCCCCGCCCCTGCTGGTCCCTGGGCGAGGGCGGGTGGGACGGGGACTTCCTCACCCGGGCAGAGGCGGGCCCGGCCAGCCGGCATGCCGCCCGAGCACCTGCCCCTTGCCGCTGCCCCCCCAGAACGCCGTGCGGCACAACCTCAGCCTGCACAAGTGCTTCGTGCGCGTGGAGAACGTCAAGGGCGCCGTGTGGACCGTGGACGAGCGGGAGTACCAGAAGCGGAGGCCGCCGAAGATGACGGGGTACGTGGGCCAGGCCCGTGCAGGGCGCCCCGCCCAGGGGGCAAGCGTGGGGCGCCCGGCTGAGCGCAGGCCGTACGAGAAAAGGGTGCTGGAGCTCGGGGGAGACCGGAACCTGGGGACGACTGATAGGAAGCGGACGTGTATGTCTTACTCTGCCCTCCCTCTGACTGAGAGAGGGACCAGACGGGCATCTGGCACTGGCAGGCAGCAGAGACCCCCAGGAGGCATGGCCGGAGCTGGGAATGGGCAGGTGCCAGTCAGTGTGGCCGTTGGTGTGCCGGCTGCCAAATTCAGATCCACCCTCCCCCCATCTTGTGACAGGAGGAGCCAACAGAGGTGCCCAGGCCCCACCTCTTCACTTAGCAGAAAAGGGGGCCCAGAGAGGGCAAGGGGCTGGGGCAGGTCACACAGCAGATCCGTGGCAGAGCCGCGTCTGTGACCGCCCCTCTCTGATCTTCACTGCACCGCGTTTTCCGTGAAACAAGGAGGCGGCAGCTGGGGATCCAAACTCCTCCACAGACACCCCCCAGGGGCCACCTTCTGCCTGTGCCTCTTGGCCCCGAGACCAGGGTGGGAGGGGGAGAAGTCTGAGGCAAGTTAGATGGGTCTCTGCATGGGTCCTGTTTCCCTCGAAGAATCCTCCTGGGACCAGAGCCGCTCCTCCCCAGGCGGCGGGGGGCTGGGGTAGGGTCGGCACCAGACCCTCCGCAGTGCCCCACGTGCCAGCCACCTTGGCATCTTCACGTCTCAGTACCCACTCGGAGTCAGGAGACCAGGGTTCGAATGACCTCTCACTGCTGTGTGTCCCCGGGCCACACCCCCACCCTCTCTGTACACGGGGCGGTCACTGTGGACGAGCCCAGCGCGGAGGCCTGCTTTCCCTCGGCAGTGCCGGGCACCGTGCTGGGCGGAGGCCTTCGGTGTGTAGCAGGTGGTGCTGGCTGAGCATGTGCCGTAGGAGACGTGCCGTAAGGTGGCCGGAGCGGGTGGGGTTCACAGATACAGGCCTGTCGAGGCTACCGCATGGGCCTCGCTGGACACGGGGGCATCTAGACCAGAGAGAAAAGGGGCCGGGACGCCCGGTGTGCGGATGGGCACTGGGTGGGAGCCGGGTTCCGGAGCCTGTGAAGCCCAGCCCTCCGGAGGGCTCCGCAGACCACGCTGCGGGATAGTGAACAGGAAGCGAACGGGCCTCAGTCAGGGTGAGTGCGAGGGCGGAGCTGGCGCCTGAAGGAGCCCAACGCTGCGCCTCCCCCGCAGGAGCCCCACGCTGGTGAAGAACATGATCTCGGGCCTCAGCTACGGAGCACTTAACGCCAGCTACCAGGTGAGCCAGCTACCAGGTGACCCGCCCTTCCCGGAGCCTGCCCGCTGCTCCCCGTCCCTCCTGTCCCCGGTTTCCCTCCCACACCCCGGCCCGGAGGGGACCTCCCTGCAGGGGCCTCTGGAGGAGCAGGGGAGGAGGAAGAGAGGGGGGGCGACTATCTGAGGGGCCAAAACCCAGACCCTCTGCCCACCCCCTCAGCTGCATGGGGCGGGCTCTGCTGTTAGGACCGGGCCTGGGAGGGCAGGGAGGGCCGGGGCGTCGCCAGGGTCTCCCTCCTGGGCTTGTCCATCAGGAGGTCCTCTGTCTCCCTGAAAGGGGCCAAGCCAGGCCCAGGCCACGGCAAAGCTGGGAGGGAGGAGGGCAGGCCAGGGCTCAGAGGTGGAGATGGGGGGGCGGGGAGAAACGTGCTGCCAGGGTAGGTCTGCCAGCGGGGCCAGCTCTGGCCCGCAGGCTGAGGAGGCTCCAGGTGAGGAAGTGACAAACCCTGCCTCCCCGCACCTGCAGGCCGCCCTGGCCGAGAGCAGCTTCCCCCTCCTCAACAGCCCCGGCATGCTGAACCCCGGCTCCGCCAGCAGCCTCCTGCCCCTCAGCCATGACGACGTGGGTGCCCCCGGGGAGCCTCTCCCCAGCAACGGCAGCAGCACCCCGCCTCGCCTGTCCCCGCCCCAGTACAGGTGAGCACACAGCCTGGACCCGCGCCCCCCCACTGGGCCTCTCCTTTCCCTCCTCTCCTCCTGCCCTTCCCCCCTTCCCCTGCACCCTCTCCCCACTTTCCCTCTCCCCCTTACTCTCTCCCCTCCCTTTCCTTTGACATCCACCCCCAGGGGCTCCGGTGGGGAAGAGCCGTGGGCAGCCCGCTGGGCCCTGAGACTCTGGGTGAGGTTTCAGCGGGGCGGGCCGCCCCGTGCCCACACGGCCCCTCTGCCACAGCCACCAGGTGCAGGTGAAAGAGGAGCCGGCGGAGGCGGAGGAGGACAGAAGGCCCGGACCCCCGCTGGGCCCCCCCAACCCCGGGGCCGCGGGGCCTGCCGAAGACAAGGACCTGGAGGAGGAGCTGCCTGGAGAGGAACTCTCCTAAGGGCCTCGAGGGGCAGGCAGGACGGGGTGAGACCCCTCCTGGAACCCGGGCCCCTCTTACCCCCACTCCACAGCCCCCTCAAACCTCAAGGCACTTCCAGGACCCAGATGGGGGCTGGACCAGCAACTCCCCATGTGGCCTGACTGACAGACGCAAAGGGCAGGGACGTCCCGCCTCCCCGCCCCCCTAAGGAGAAACGGGAGCCCTGGTCTGGGCCGCAGAGGACAGGAGGGCCCAGGCCCCTCCTCACTCCCTCCCCGCCACCAGCAGCAGCCGCGCCGGGCCCTCCCCACCAGCTCTCCGGACGGCCCGCAGCCACGGAGACCGCGGGCGGGCGGGCGAGGCGGCCGCCCCAGGCCCAGGGCCCCTCGCACCCGGCTCTGGCCGTTTTTTTCTAGCCAGAGGCCCCCACTCCCCCGTCTGTGCCCCCTCCCACCTTCTCCATACTGTGAAGAAAGAGTTCTCCACCCGATGCCCACCCCGCCCAGGCCTGGGCAGAGGAACTGAAGCTGCCAACCGCCCCCAGAGGAAGCCAGCCCCGCGGGCTCCCACCCAGAGCCACAGCCGGGCCGCACCAGTGGGAGCAGGGCCCCTGGCCGAGGCCCTCCTCCCGACCTGACCGGGGACCCAGGCTGCCGGGGCCTCTTCCCGTTTACTGGCCACCTGCCCGCCCGCCCGCCCGCCATCCAGGGAGCACAGGAAGAGTCCGTGCCAGGCGGCCTTTTGGACACGGGGCCCAGGACGGGAGCCCAGCCATCCGGAGGCCAGGGGCATCGGGGCAGAGGTGGTGCCAACCGCCCGCCCGCCCGCCTGTCACGGGACTGACTGGTGGGGTTAGTTTGGCAGCTGCTGTGACCCAGCAGGTCACCCCGCCCCAGCTCCAGGGCACCATTGCAGCCCCCTCCCGCCCTCCCCTTCCTCTCCCCTCCCCTCCTCCCCCCTCCCAGTTAAACGGATGACCAAAGACCTTTCTTATGCCAGAAGCAAAAACCAAAACTTTTTGTTGGCTTTTTCCTTTGTCGCCTCCTCCTCCTCCCCCTGCTCCTCCTCTGCGCCCACCGGCCCCAGGCTGGGAAGCCTCCCTCCACTTAAGTTATTGTTTTAAACCAAAGTTTACAGTGTCTGTTGGTGGCCAAGACCCTCTCCCTCCACCCCTGCCCCACCCCCCTGAGGACCCTGGGGCTCGGAGGGGGCTGGGGCCCTGCCCCCCTCCCCTCTGCTCGTGCCCAGCCTGGGAGAAGGGAAGGGCAGGGCGGGAGGGGGCCGCCCTCAGCCCCGCACCCCCCCGGGCAGCGGGCACAGAGCCCCCGTCCGCCCCTGGACTGCTTCCCGGGGCTGCAGACCCCCCTTTAGGACCAAGTCCCCGTCGCGCTGGGAGTGGCTTCCAGCCGAGGAGCTGGAGAAAGCCGCACTCTCCACAGACCCCCTATGGGGGCCCCGACCGAGGCCCAGGCCTGGGCGTGCTGGACGCTCAGCACCCAGGCCGGGCCCCTTTGCTGAGAAGACTCTTTGGACTCTTTCCCCGAGAAACCCCCACGTACGCCCCTTCACAAGCACCCCTCCCAGAGGCAGGGCCCCGCCGCCCCGCCCTGTGTACTCCCCACCTGTGTTTCGTTTGACCAGCACAGAAATATTAAACGTCCTCTGTACACCCGGCCCTCGTGTGTCGCCAGGCGAGGGGGGTGTGGCGGTCTGGGGGGCAGAGGGCACCAGCCGGGCAGCAGGGGCCCAGAGGGGGCTTGGGCCCGGGCACCAGCCAGCCACCGTACCGCAGGGCCTTCCTTCCCCGCCCCTCCTGCCCCCTCCTCCATGCACCGTCGGGCAGTCCCTAGTGTTTCCTTTTGAGCCAGATGCTCCCCTTCCTTCTCTCCCAAAGCCACGCTCGCCCCAGCGGCTTCCTGGGTGTGAAACGCCAGTTCCTGCCAGGCGTTCTCAGCAGGGAGTCCCGCTGCAGCACCCTCCCCTGGGCACTGCCCTTGGAGCCATTCGCCCGTGCCTAGGGCCCCTCAGCCATGTCTTCCAGAGGCTGCCTGCATTGTGTGGGGGGCACCGAGCTGCGGGTGGGGCTGTTGAGTGCATGCATGCCAGTGTGTGCAGAGTCATGCCGGTGAGTCCATGCCGGTGTGTGCAGGGTCCGTGCCGGTGTGTGCAGGGTCCATGCTGGTGTGTGCAGGGTCCGTGCCGGGGGGTCCGTGCCGGTGTGTGCAGGGTCCGTGCCGGAGGGTCCGTGCCGGAGTGTGCAGGGTTCGTGCCGGGGGGTCCGTGCCGGTGTGTGCAGGGTCCGTGCCGGTGTGTGCAGGGTCCGTGCCGGGGGTCCGTGCCGGTGTGTGCAGGGTCCGTGCCGGTGTGTGCAGGGTCCGTGCCGGTGTGTGCAGGGTCCGTGCCGGTGTGTGCAGGGTCCGTGCCGGTGTGTGCAGGGTCCGTGCCGGAGGGTCCGTGCCGGTGTGTGCAGGGTCCGTGCCGGTGTGTGCAGGGTCCGTGCCGGTGTGTGCAGGGTCCGTGCCGGTGTGTGCAGGGTCCGTGCCGGAGGGTCCGTGCCGGTGTGTGCAGGGTCCGTGCCGGTGTGTGCAGGGTCCGTGCCGGTGTGCGCAGGGTCCGTGCCGGAGGGTCCGTGCCGGTGTGTGCAGGGTCCGTGCCGGTGTGTGCAGGGTCCGTGCCGGTGTGTGCAGGGTCCGTGCGGTGTGTGCAGGGTCCGTGCCGGTGTGTGCAGGGTCCGTGCCGGTGGGTCCGTGCCGGTGTGTGCAGGGTCCGTGCTGGTGTGTGCAGGTCCGTGCCGGAGGGTCCGTGCCGGAGGGTCCGTGCCGGTGTGTGCAGGGTCCGTGCCGGTGTGTGCAGGGTCCGTGCCGGGTGTGCAGGGTCCGTGCCGGTGTGTGCAGGGTCCGTGCCGGTGTGTGCAGGGTCCGTGCCGGTGTGTGCAGGGTCCGTGCCGATGTGTGCAGGGTCCGTGCCGGTGTGTGCAGGGTCCGTGCCGGAGGGTCCGTGCCGGTGTGTGCAGGGTCCGTGCCGGAGGGTTCGTGCCGGTGTGTGCAGGGTCCGTGCCGGAGGGTCCGTGCCGGTGTGTGCAGGGTCCGTGCTGGTGTGTGCGGGGTCCGTGCTGGTGTGTGCAGGGTCCGTGCCGGAGGGTCCGTGCCGGAGGGTCCGTGCCGGAGGGTCCGTGCTGGTGTGTGCAGGGTCCGTGCTGGTGTGTGCAGGGTCCGTGCCGGAGGGTTCGTGCCGGTGTGTGCAGGGTCCGTGCCGGAGGGTCCGTGCCGGTGTGTGCAGGGTCCGTGCCGGAGGGTCCGTGCCGGAGGGTCCGTGCCGGAGGGTCCGTGCTGGTGTGTGCAGGGTCCGTGCCGGAGGGTCCGTGCCGGTGTGTGCAGGGTCCGTGCCGGAGGGTCCGTGCCGGTGTGTGCAGGGTCCGTGCCGGTGTGTGCAGGGTCCGTGCCGGAGTGTGCAGGGTCCGTGCCGGAGTGTGCAGGGTCCGTGCCGGAGGGTCCGTGCCGGTGTGTGCAGGGTCCGTGCCGGTGTGTGCAGGGTCCGTGCCGGTGTGTGCAGGGTCCGTGCCGGAGGGTCCGTGCCGGTGTGTGCAGGGTCCGTGCCGGAGGGTCCGTGCCGGTGTGTGCAGGGTCCGTGCCGGTGTGTGCAGGGTCCGTGCCAGTGTGTGCAGGGTCCGTGCCGGAGGGTCCGTGCCGGTGTGTGCAGGGTCCGTGCTGGTGGGCACGGGGTCGGAAAAGGGATTATTCTGACCTCAGAAAGGGGACCCTGGGCAGCTGGGGGAGAGAAGGAAAAGAGACATCGGTTCAAGCTGCTGAAACCAAAGGTGAGCACTGCCACCCCAAGGTAGGGGCCCCCCACACCTCTCTCCTTCATCAGGGCCCAGGAAGGAGTGTACAGCAGACCCTGGGAAATGTGGGGGTTCGTGGCGCCGACCCCCACACCGTTGGAAATCCATGTGTAACTTGACCCCCAAACCTCAGTCATCCCCAGGTGCCCACAGGACCATCACGTGTGTGAAAGTCCATGGATGCTCATGTCCCGTGTATAAGGTGACATAGAACAGCACACGGTGCGGAGTCTGCACCCCCATTTGACTGAGTCCACGTGTGCATGGGGGGGGGGGGCCCTCCTGTGTTGAAACACGAATGAGTCGAGTTCAAACCTGTTCCTCCAGGGTCCGCTGTGCCGGGGGCCGGGGGGGGGGGGGGGGGTGGGGAGGGCAGAGGAAGGGCGTTGAGAAAGCAGAACTGCAATCACTTGCCCTTCCCACAAATCACCAAATGGCTAGAACTTTCCAGAAGTCAAACTTGGGGAGCAGTGGGGCAGGAAGGGGAAGGCAGGGCCTGGCGTGAGTCTCTGACCTCTGACATCTGTCCCAGGCCTGTTTAGTCCTTCCCACCAGCTTCCGCGTCCTCCAGTCCCTCTGACTCCCCTCTTCTCTGTCTCACCCCCTCCACTCTGCCTCCACCCAGCCCTGGCCCTCCGGACGCTGGCCGGAGCCGGGGTGAACTCCCTGGAGAGGACAGCTCCGACATCCCACCCTCTGGGCCAAAAAGGGCTTAGTCCCGGGGCCCCACATCTCCACCCGCTGCAGCCAGCCCCCCGAATGCTAAGGCAGCACGCTGTGCAGTGCTCTGCTACACACCAACTGTCTGGACAGTTCGTCCTCCATGTAATGCAGCAGTTACCCCGATGTCACTGCGACCGCTGCTCCCCTCCGCACCCACAGCCCCCGGGCGAGCCCCAGAGCATCCGGGCTCCCTGCTCCTTCCTCCGCCCCGGAGGGCAGAGGTCGCTCCAGGGGCTGGCCACCGAGACGAGGCGATGAGGCTCCCCTCGGCCGTCTAACTGCAGTTCCTCCTGCTTCACCTAGCGTTTTCGTTTTGATTTTTTATTCCTCCCGGTGCGTTTGGACAAGGGCGAAGGTCTGTGCTGGGCTTTGGTGGAAGAGAGGGTCTTGCAGGATAAGAATCAGGAGCTTGCTGTGGACCACGTTCTGAGCGTGGGGACCTGCAGACAGTGGTCTTACTGATCTGGCAGGTTCTGGGAGGGGCACGGCCCCCATACTACCTTCCAAATAAGAACGTCCCCGCTCTCCGCTCCGGCTCTGCTGTCCGGAAGTTCTGCGTGCTGACTAGCCTCCCTCCTTCCCGCTGTTACCCGCAGCTATTGGGATAGTCCGCTCAGGCAGACACACCAGCACGCACAGGCTGTGGCTGGCAGCTTGTCGGGGGGAGAGGGGAGCTATCTTAGGGACAAACTGTCCTCAGCTGGGAGAGGAAAGAAGGGGCGGGGGGGAGTACTCCAAGCAGACATTCTGAGGGTGAGAAGGTAGCACACTTTCAGAAAGCTCTTCCCTCCCAACTGGGGCCCACCCCTGCCCAAGGCCTTCTGCCAGCGGCCAGCAGAGGGCGCTCTAGACAAAGCCGACCTACGTAGTGCTGCTCCTTTGGACGAACTTGCCCAAGGGGAGGATGGGGGAGGATGGGGGTAGGGTTGGAGGAGGGGCTCAGCTTCCCTGGAGAACAGCAGTCCTTTGACCCCACGTCCCAGAAAGCAGCCTCTGTCCCAGGGCAGAAATGGCTCCTGGCACGGGGCTTCCCAGACCTCTCACCTTGTGACCTGAGAAGCATCCGACACAGAAAGAGGAGGGGGGTGGGGGGAGGGAGGGCGGAGTCCCCTAAGGATCTGCGATGGTAGTAATTATACTTAACGAGCGTGCATGATGGACCAGACACTAGTCTAGAAGCGTTACAGTTCGCCTGATCCTCACAACTCTGCGTTAGACCCTGTTATTATCCCCATTTTACAGAGGAGGGAGCAGGCTGGGATCAAAGCGCTCACACTGGGAGCCTTCAGGTTGAGAAGCTATGGGTGTCCGGTGGGGAGGGAGAGGGAGGCCCGGGGGCTTAGCCTCAGCGTCCTAGGGACGCCGCTGTGGCCTCCCCCCATCTTTTCTGGAGACTCCCCGTGGGGAAACGGAGGCACAGAGCGGCTCGGAGCCAGGAGTCGGGCCCTGGCTCCAGGTCCCCGGCCGCCTTCTTGTCCAGGCAGATGGAGGTAAGTTAGGGCTTAGGATAGTCACTGGGGGACAGGGAACTGGAGAAAAAAGGCTGAGACACCCTATACAAATAATCAAACAGGGCCTTCTGATGGAGGAGGGAGGCAGGGCAGGCAGGGCAGACAAAGAGGCCCTTGTGTGAGGGGGGACTCACAGCGACTGCACACACACACACTCACACACACATGCACCTGAGCACCGGCAGGCACACGGGCACACACAGGCTGCTCCTCAGACATGTTTACGCCGAGAGGTCCCCCACGGGCAGGGGCCCACACCACATGGAGCCACAGGGCCCCCCATCGCACAGGCCCGGCCCCTCCACACCTGCAGGCTGTCTCCACCTCAGGATCAAAAGTTTAGAAAAACAGCCCCTCCTGAGAAGGTGATCCTGGTGGCAGCCAGGGCTGAAAGGCCCTCTGTCCCAGGCCGGAGGGGTTGGGGGTGGGGGGGTGGGAGGAGGGGGGGCTGGATGGCAGCCTTTGGAAGATGGCCGGATTCACAGGACCGCACGGAGGTGGCCTGGGCACAAGTCCCCGGGAGCTCCTGGACCAGACTAGAAGGCTCCTCCCCGGGAGGGCTCGTGCCCCTCCTGATCGAAGACCTGGAGCCATCATGC